TCTATTTCATATCTAGAATATAATGGAATGAAGCGGCAACTAGTTCACACATAGGCTTAGATTTAGTAGAAGTAAGAGAATATTGGCTAAAAATAAATTCCAACTAACTGATAGAAGTCATGGGGAATGATGAATACTGAAATAACTATGTAGGAATCATTTTGAATGAGATATTAAATGATAATCTGCATAAGCAATATGCTATGATATTCTATTATAGTAAAGAATAAATATCACATTCAACTGATTCAAAGTTTAACTTCAGATTATACATAGATCCTACATCTCGAGCTATCAACATAAATTGAGGGCAACAGCAAATGGTCGAATGGCCTAGAACTAGAATCGACGACAGCTGCCACACAATTGGCCACTGTGGGCTGCGCCGATTGAAATGTTGCAATCAATCGCAACTGACAAAATCGAATCAAAATAATGCGGTCAAATCGAATGTCTCTGTATGGGCAGGTAACACATTGGATGGCGAATCGTACAAACCTTTGCTTTATGCAATTGCAAATGCAATTTATGCGAGCGTGAAATATATTTTTGTAATCCAAACAAAGGCAAACAACAGTTGAAAGGTGTGAAGCGGGGTTTTTTTTTCTGTGGGTCTTTTGTTGAAGCGGATTGAACACAAAAATTTGTTGCAATAAATGCCGATTGTTATGGTTGATGTTGTTGTTGTTGTTGTTGTTAGTGGTGGTAGTTTTTTACAACTCTTTGACAATTATGTAATGTCGGTTCGTCTGTTGCAGAATCAACAATTGCAGCAACAACCACAAAATAAACAACAACAGTTTCCGCTGCTGACTTTTTTTTTTTTTGCACAATTTGATTGTTCGATATTGAAAAATGAATACGAGTTGATTTTAATTTCTTATTTTATTTTTGTATTTGTTTTTATTTGGGCTTTTCGTTGTTGTTGTCGTCGTTTTTATTAGAATCGCACAATGGTCACTTGAGAGGTTTGTTAGCGGCGCCTATTGTGAACACTAAGTTACGCCCTGTTTAACGTTTGGTAACTCCTATTATATATATATGCTAGGCACATACACACGCGTTTTATGCGAGACTTTCACTTTTTTTTTGTTTTTTGTATATTCATATGCATAAAAATATATTATAGATATTTTTTCTGTTTAGTCTGAGCGTAGTTTATTGCACTTTTCGTATTAGTTATATTAAATCACCTGATTTTTCGTTTGTTTTATTTATCGTTCATCTATGTCACTTGTCGCTTGTTAAAAGTCCTTCGCTTCTATTCTAATTCAGTTTTTTTCATGCACGACGTGGGCGTCAAAAAACACAGCACAAAACGTGGTTTCTTCTCTTTTTTTTCTCCTCTTCGTTGAGCCAATTCTTTGGCAAGAGCAGCTAACATACGCGCGCGTCAAGCGTTGAGCGTTTCTCGAGCGTTTATAAAAATTCAAATACGATTCTAAATGCCTGGACGGCGGCTTCGCACCATGGCGGACGCAGCGACGTCGGCAGCGAAGCCAGCACAAAAGAGAAATGGCGTTGCCAGCTCAAACCAGGCGCAACAGCAGCAGGCGCAAGCGAGACAACTATATGCACTTCCTCCCTATGCATGTGCCTCTGTGTGGCTGTGCGAGTCTGTATGTGTTTATGTGTGTGTGTGTATGAGTGCGACTGCTGCGACGCGGCCTTTGTTCATGCGCACAAGCAGTGGCTGTGCTCTGTGTGTGTGTGCAGCAGAGGCGGAGCTTAGCTGTTTTCTGTGTGTTTGTGTTTGTAACTTTTGCTTTTGGCTTTGTTGCTGCTGCTTGTAGTTGTTGTTTCTCTTCTTTATGTTTTTTTTTTTAACATGGACGCTGCGCGCTTCTTGCGGAAAAACAATGAGAAAAAAAGCAGCTAAAAACTGGTTTTTGCTCTGTTCTATTTGACGGGTTTTTAGTTTTTGTTTCTTCTTCCTTTTCTCGCAGCTAAGAACACAATCTAATCAAGTAATTAAAGTTGCGAGTGGACTTGAAGAAATTTCCAAGCAACAAAGGCAACTTTTAATTGAAAATAAGCTAATGAAATTAATTTGAAATTGAAGCAATGGGAAAACTTGAAGGTCTACAAGAAGTTCAGCTTGGCGAAAAATAAATAAATAATAATATGAGAACTAAAAAGGAATTTTAGAGTCATTCTTGTATGTATGATCAAAACAAATAAAATCTGGGCAAATATAAAATATAATATATAAAATATAAAATATAAATGGAACTAAACAAGCACAATTTCTTCATCAGACATATATAGCACCTCTTCTTCTTCTTTACATATCCCAGATATCCTTAAACATCCTTCTCCGGCAAATAGCGCTGCTGAAAAGCTTTTAGACGCTGCCGCAGCTCCTCGCCCGTCGCCTGCAATGCCTGAAGCTTCGACTGATGCTGCTGCAGTTGAGCCAACTCATCGCCAAGCATCGCCAGATCCTCACTCAGCTCGTTGCGTTTGTGCTCCGTTTCGCGTTGCAATTGCTGCATAGAGCGCGTCAATTGCTGTCGCACCTGTTGGCCAAAACCGGCCGCCGTTTGTTGCAGGCCGTCGCGCAGTCGACGCTGCAAGTGCTGCGTGTATTGCGATTTGAAACTGCGCTCCTGAGCTTGCGGCGTCCAGCTGAACCGTTCGTAGGCATAGAAGGCGCCCGTGACTACGCCCAGAGCCAGCGTCAAACGCCAGCCCAAGGTGCGCGTCAGGACGCCACACAACAACAAAATGGTGCCCGTTGAGTTCTCCGTATCCGGCAGCCAGACGCCCACATGCGAGGGCAGCTTCATCAGCTCCTCACGCTGGCCATTCAGCTGCTTGGGCAGCTGCGGCAGCTGTGGCAGCGGCAACGGCATCTTGGCCTGTATGCGCTTCAATATGGCCACCATGCCCCACGAGAAGCGAAACTCCAGATCCGCCTGAAATCCGGACATCAGCTGTTGACAGTCCAGGGCGCAGTACAGCTGCACGGGCAGCACGCAGTCAGCCGGGGCTGAGCCCAATTGGCGCATCTGCAGCTGCAGCAGCTGGCCGAGCTGCAGCTCCACTTGCTGCAGCAACAACTGCTCGAGATGAACGCCCAGCAGTCGCTGATAGTGGCGCAGCTCGCGTTGCAAGTGCGGCTGAAAGGGCACATGGAATTGTTGCACGGCCGCGGGCAGACGCAAGATCTGCTCGTGCAACAGCTGTGCGGCAAGCCGGCAGCTCTCCTCGCTCAGCTGCTCCACTTGCTGGGACAGCTCCTCCTGCCGCTGCACGCTTTGCTGCTCCCAGCCCTCGTAGCCAGCCGTCAGCGCAGCCTTGGCTGACGTCTTCTCTTCGCCCAGTTGGGCTAGTTGCATGGCCAGTTGTTGCAGCAGTTCGTGCAGCTGCAGCAGCATCTCGGCTGCTCCGACGCAATGCTGCTCGAATTTGGTTCGCAGTGCGCTCTGTGTAATGCATTCAGCGAATTTGCGCTCGAAGCTGAGAAACTCCTCGTAGCGCAGCTGTGCACCAGGTGCTCGAAAGCGATCCTCCTCCTTTGTCTTGGCGTGCTGCCGCAGGCGTAGCGTCTCCAGTGCCGAGACATGGAAGATGCGCCGCCTGGCTAGCTCCACGTTGGCATAGATGCCCAGCTCCTCGACCAGCAGCTGCAAACAGCGCTGGGTGTGCTGCGCCCGCACCAGTTGCTCCAGCTGCGGCTCCAGCGAGGCGGCTGCATCCCAGCGATTGTTGAGTATGAACAAATTGGGCCTGGACAGCTGCTGAGCGACCAGCTCGAAGAACTGGCGCTCCACGCGCGATATCGTCGACTCGGCATTCAGCACCAGCACGAACACGTCCGCATTCAGGCAATGCCGATCTATGCACTCGTCCAGCTGCGCCGTCACATCCACGCCGGGCGTGTCCAGCAGAACCACATCGTGCCCCAGCAGCTGGCAGCTGCTGCTGGGCCAGCGCACATGGAGAAGGCTGTGCGGACTCAGCGCTCGACCCGAGTGCGCGCTGGCCAGCTCACGCAGGCAGTCGATGCTCAGCTTCTGGTCATCGCCATCCTCGATCGTGACATGGGCCGATTCCTGCCTGGCGCAGGCCTCCACCTGACAGAAGCAGCTCGTCGTATGCCCCATGGCGCTGGGCAGGATGCGCTCATGCAACATGGCGTTGATGACGGCGCTCTTGCCATTCGAGGTGCGCCCAAAGAAGGCAACCTTCATGCGCTTCCGCTGCAACATGGGGCAAATCGCTTTGATTCGTTGAATGCAGGCCAGCAGCTCGCTCCGCATGCGTTCATTCATCAGATCCTTCAGGCTGGGCATAAGCTGCAGCTCGTCTACCACCAGCTGCAAGTGTCTAGCCATATCCTCGTAGATATTCAACATGTCCATCTTGGCCTGGCCAAACTCACTGAGCATTGTGGACATTCTTGCGCTTATTTCTCGACTTTTTGCATATATTATCTTTTATAAAATATAGATGTTTAAGAGGCTGCAGATATGTAAATATATGGCATCTGTTTTTCAGTTTTCAATGAACATTTGTTGGAATGTTTTGAACATTGATTGAAATGGAGTTTTGAAATTTATATAAATACAGATATATATATAAAGGATATGCGATATCGTATATATCAGAAAATTATGGAGAAAATTCTATGGATTGCATTAAAAACATCAAGCAGCATTCGTCCTAGACCATCTAATGAGCAGGATTTTCTCTGCTGTACGACGTTTCTATCACCAAACAATTCCTCACAGACCACCTTCTGGACTTCCATTTGGAGGGGATTAGACTTTTAGATTTTTACTTTTTATACATCCTTAATGGGTACTTAATTGGAATAAGTTTTTATATATTTTTATATATATAAGTTCACCATATTCACGTTTTAACTATAATTTTGTATCCCTAAATACTCTATATATTTTCGGCTTTGGTTCAGAAGTTCTTCATATATTTTTGACTAAAATTCTCAGAAGTTTTTCTTGATCACTATTTGATTAAAAATAGAAAAACCGCCTCTGATCACATGTGCGCCCATTAGTGCGCCTTCCAACTGACCCAAAAAATCGTAGTGAAACAATTTTCCCAATAAAAAAGCATGCATTTATTTACACAAAAATTAACACAATTACCGCAATCAAATGGACGCTTGTTTAATTTTTATTTTTGTTTCTTTTTTATCACTCTAAAAAAAAATTGAAGAGAAAAAGGCAGTCAATATGCATTAGTGGGCCACTGAACTAATAGACGAGAGCGAGCCAGCCAGGGCAATAATAATAATAAGGCCCAAACAACTATTTGGAATTGGTAAACTTCAACAAATTCAGAGAGAGAGAGAGAGAGAGAGAGGGAGAGAGAGTGAAGGAGAGGGAGTTACGTGGTTGAGGAAAAAAAAAAAAAAAATTAGCAGCATCATCAGCAAGCGCTTGAGAGACTCGCATATGCCAGACTTAGGAGTGTATAGATGTATTTAGATGTATATATACATATATACATATCTATATTGAAGCTTGAATAATATGTTTGGATCGTTGGAGCGTTTCTCGAGTGCGCCATTACAACTTAATTAGTTTAAATTGTTGGAACGTCCAAAGACTCAAAGAGCTTGTGCCGCCATTGCGACTAAGGCGCGAGTGAGAGAGACGGCGCATGAGTGAGACAGCAGTAGTTGGCTGCGGTAGTGAGGGCAGCAAATTGTTTCAGTCAATTTCCGGTGAGAGAGACGCTGCAACATCAATGCACCGAGCTGCACAGCACTGCACTGCACTGCACTTGAATATTTAAGTGGCTCGGCAACACTGGCGCTCGCGTTTCGTGCTGTTCCACATAACATTTTACTTTCGCACACTGAACTTGCGTACATAACCTCAAATGGCTAGAGCCAGTGCGCAACAATTATGACAAGACAAATCTGAAAGGCAACGACACCGACACCGGACCCAAACACCGTTAGTGTCAACAATGAATGTGTAAATAAAGCACATGAGTTGCCACAAACTGAGGCTGCACCGACAATCAATGAACTAGCAACTAATTAACATACATATAAACCAGATCACATAGACGATGTCGCATAATCCTGCCCACTCACACACACACACACACACACGCATTTTTGGGTCAATGGGCTAATTGAATTATGCAATTCTCAACTAGTTTTTGGCAATAGCTGATGACGCCGCAGCGCAGAGAGAGGCTCAGCTTAAAACACTTGAAAGCGATACGATTATGCAGCAAATTATGTTGCGTCTGCCACAAGCCCGGCCCTCGCTCCCTGCCCCGTTCCCTGCCGCTCTGCTCTACTTGACTCTGTCTGTGTCTGTTTGTTGTTGTTGTTGTTTTTGTCAGCATGTAAAATTTTCTTCTTTTTTTTTGTAAATTTGTAACGTAATGCTGACCAAGTAGAATTTTTTTTTAACAATTTCTTCTATGCTGGCCGAATAAGCCAGACAGAGAGACAGACGGACAGCAGGGAGCACAGTTTTGAATGTTGCACTGCAGCAACAACAACAACAACAATAACAAGAGCTGCAGACAGGAAGGGGGCACAAACACACACACACATATAGACACAGACAGACATATCCTCAATAGGTGCCGCTCGAAGCACCAGCTGCTTTTTCTTCTAATCATAATTTTCATCATATTCATTTTCATCATGTGGGCGAGGTCGTTGCAGTAAGTGGAACTTGTCTGCACTGCCCTTGAGCCCATGTCTAGAACGTTGAGAATACGGGCAATAGAGCTGACTATGGTCTAGGGAAACCCATTTCGACTTGAACTAATTCAAAATTTGATTTGATGCAGTGCAACTATTGGGAAATATTAACTGAGACAGTTTTCTTTTCAAAGGGAAAATTCTAGAAAAAATGTACAATATTTTAGTATTTAATACTTTTTCCTTTTTGTATCACTATTAAATAACTAAAGAAAGTAGTGTTGGCTAATATTGTTTGGCTTTAAGTAGCTACATATTTATTATTCACAGCAGTTTAAGACTTTTGTTCTAACTGTACTTCACATACATTCAAAAACTACAAACTACAAATAAATATATTCAAATAAATATAGGATACTCTTAAAATTAAATTTTGCAACACTAGATTTCTGCTCTGCGTAGGCTAGTGGTAGAAAATTGCATTTTATTGTACATTTCAGTGTAGGCTAGTGTTGTAAATGGAGACATTTCAATCAGTTCGTTTTGCAACACTATTCTTAATGCACTTTTCAATCGCAACTGTACGAAGCATTGGAAAAACATTCCAAACTCCAGCTAGCCAATCAAATCAGAACATTTTCAGCTGCTGTTCTTTCGCATGTGAATGGCCGTTAGCTGTAACAAATTTTGAGCCGTGGTCAATAAACTTGCGTAGCTTGGCAGCCAAACTGATTGCATAATGGAATTTAAGCCACTATATTTATAAGTAAAGGCGTGTACGCGAAAGATCTATAACATAATTGAGAATAAGAGCATTTTTTTCGTCATTCTTCTCTTTCAGTTGTTGTCAAGTCATGCGCTCCAAAAGTTGTCAACTGTGCGTAGTTGTATTATTCTAAGAAGCTAAGAAGAAGAAATACAAAAACTGGTTGAATTCCAACTGAATCAATGTAATCAGATTTGTGATTTGTTCAATGGATCGTCGAATCTCTGGGAGCCCAACATCAAAATAAATACTAAAAATTAAAAAAAAAAAACTGTACCAAAAATAAAAAAAAAAAACTTGAGAAAAACAAACAGCATTGATTACGACAACAATCAGATACAAAAGAGTAGAGTAGGGAGAGTAAAAAGAGAGGGAGAGCGAAACTCCGGACATGGCAACTTAATTACGACAATGGATCTTGAGACATATGCCAATGACATGGCGTTATGTGTCCAGGACAATGGCTAGAGACAGCTTCATTAGCAACAGGATTCTATCTGGAAGAAGGTGACAAAAGTTGAAATTAATGAAAAGTCGCTGACTTTAAAAACCGAGTTACAATAGAGCTGTGAGAGATACCTGTGCGGCGAGCATCGCCTATCGATACGAAAATTAACTATATAGATATAGTACAAGCAAATAGTATCTATCAATTCATGTGGGCATTCAATAGTTTCTTGCTGCTGGCTGTAATTGAACTGAAACAAAATTAAAGATACAAAAATGACTTTCATTTTAGTGCAAGCCAAAGCCAAACGCATGGAACAATAGATAATGCCGACTGCCCGGCCAAAGGGACTGCGGCACAGCCATAGATACGTACCGTATGCCATGGCTAACACTCGGGGGAATTTGGATACGCGTACGAACAAAAGCGTGTGAATGCGTGTCTCGAATCCGATATAAATCTTAGCCATAGACCAATAGCAAACGATATGCACAGGCGGACGGACAGGCGGACGGATGGCTGGCTGTACAGGGCGGGCGCGCATCAATGGATTTTTAATAAATGCTCAGCCGAAATAGTAAATGGTAATAGATGATAATTGATACCAATGTGAGCGACTAGAGAATACCCAGTGTATAAAATACTATTGAAGCTGAAGTGAAGGGAGTCGAATTCAAAATTCTTCAATTCTTAGTAAATAATACATTACTTAGTATTAAATAGTTATCGATATTTATCGACTAAAGAGTAAATTGTATCAATAAGAATTTCTTTTGGTATGCAGACCGCAGTTATATCCACTCTATTGACATACGCATTAACTATAGGGTATCGAAATTAATATTAATAGCTAGAAGCTGAATAAATGCCTATGAATAGCTAACGATATACGAAATACAAATACGAGACACGTTTACTGACTTTCAGCTTATCTAGATGCTATGCTGTTGGTGGTGCGGCTGCTGTTGCTGCTGGTGGTGGTGGCTTTGGCATCCTACAAAATGGCTGCCGGGGTTGATCGGAGCGATAGAACGAGGACTTCCCTTCAATAAGCCTGCTGCATGGCAAAGCAAACGCGTCTAGTTGGGTGGTTTAAGCCCACGGCTCTGGCTCTTATATACAGCTTATAGGCCAAAGTTGAAATACATCTTATACAAACTAATACAGGCATACATTTGTATACATATGTACATATATGTATGTACATACGTATATATATAAAATATATATGAGCGTAATTTTTGGCGAATCATGTTTCGTTCATTTTTCAAAAGAAAAATGTTGCATGCGACGGCGGTGGCAGCTACTTTTACTGCCACTGACTGTGCCCCAGCTCCGTGTGCCGTGCTTCTGCTACTGCCACTGCCTCTGCTTCTGCTGCCAGTTTCAGTTACAATTTCAGTCCCAATCCCAAGCCGAGACCCAATCCCGACTGTTAATAATAAAAGTTCGTGTGCGTGTCAAAGTTTGTTTGAAAAGCAGCCGCTTGGATATGAAATTGGGCGCGGTTCCAAGCAGATTAGCAGAGAGGCCAGAGCCCAGACCCTGAGTCGGAGTCGGAGCCACAGCCACAGCTAGAGGCAGAGCCAGAGCCCGAGCCCCAATGCCAGCTGGCTTTATCGATATCAGACAAATGGAGCATATGAAGGTGGAGTAGAAATGTCGAGCGGACGGGGCCAAAAGCGAATTGCCGAAAAAGAAAAGCTCATTTTTCTTTTAATTTTCGTGCCTGTCAACTCAAAATGCCTACGTTCATTTATAAAAACCTTTCGCAAATGGCGTCGCTCAGGAGCAGCGAGCGACCCAGCCCTAGCAGCAGGATAATCCATTTTCGTTTATATTAGCGAACAGGAGCAGCCACAGCAGCAGGAGCAACAGCAGCAGTAGCAGCTGTCACTTGATACATTATGAAATAGAATATATTATGTAATCCTCGCCCCCCCCCTGTAAAGATCCAATAGCATCTATTTAAAGACAACAACTGTCGCTTATCTAACACGTTTGAAAGGGAAATGTTATGCTAAAAATGATATTGCTTCAATTTATTTTTGTGTATCTGAGATAAGATAACCCTCCTCATAAATCTAGCACGTTGTTTGCGTGCGCGAAAACTGTAAAAGTGGTAAAGAGGACTGTAATTGTAATTTAGTGCTCCAACTAACCATGCACTAGATAAGCTCTATTTGACTTACCAGTTTCATTGTCGATTGTAAAGGGTATGCCGTTCCATTCGTTCGATAGCTCATCCAGATCATCCGGCAGTTTCTTCTCCTCAATCGATGGCTAAAAGCAAGATTGGAGAAGCTTGACAACAGATCGATCGATTTATCGCTCCGAAATATTCTATAGTTTAGCATGAACTTTATGCTTTTGTTAGCTATCGATAAAATTGATGAATTAACAAGGCCAGCATAGCCTATCGAGAAATGGATCACGTATTTTTACCAAGTTCCATATTTATCGATAAGTTCAGCTTTAAGCTCTTTGCAAAACATTGTGAAATACTTACCTCATTTTGCTGCAGATCTTCCAGAGCTTTCAACTTCTCGATATCATCATCATCATTATCATGATCATTATCACTGGCGTTCTTATCATTGTCATCAGCTTTGTCCTTCTCGCCATCCGCCTTGTAGGCGCGCTGCTTGGCAGCGCTATTGCCGCTGGCATAGGATGCATTGATAATCTTCTCCTGATCCAAACTAAAGCCCAAGTCGACATCCTGCTTGTAGAGCACCTCAGCGATTTCACTTTCCTGCAAGCCAAGCAAGGTAATAGATAAGTAAATAATGTAGATAACTGGCATAATACTATTATTAGATTTACTACATATTTAGCTTAAAGTCTTAGTTACAAGACATACTCCGACAAAGATTTTCATGGCGCAATAGATCAGGTCTAAACTTTCAATTCACTTGTCTATCGATTGTTCGAATTGCACTTTGTTTTGTATTTTTAATTGTTATTTGCGAATTTTTATTTGGGTTTGCGCTCTTAAACGTCGTCTATGTGGCCCCGTTTCTAAAGAGAGACTGACTGATAGGTAGAGTGACAGACAAACGATACTACTCTTTTTTTTCCCCACTAAATGTTTAACCTATTCTTTTCACATATATTTAGTATAATATATTCTCTTGTGTTTCGCAGATAAGACGTTTTCGTCTAAGATAAAAACTGCGTCATTTCTCGTCCTCTGCTCGAAACTTTAGACTCAAATCTTCGGGTAGATATAGTATGTAAATTTATCTAGACTTTTGTAAGTGCTCTTTTGGGTTACTCATATAGAACATTAATTGAAGAGCGATACGCTTATCAGTTTTAGATAGGCACCCACTCCCACTCTCTCTCTCTCTCTCTCTCTCTCTCTCTGTGCGAGGAATTCCTACACTTGCAGAAATCTATATGAATTTCTTAGTTTTTGCAGACGAATTCCACAAGTTTTTGCAAATTCATGCCAAAACGATTTTGTGGCTGCAAATTAAAGCGTTAATGATGCATTATTAACGCTGGCCGTAACCCCAGACGTTTTGCCCAAAAAATTTTTAATCCTTTTTGCAGCAAGTCAAAAAGAACTGGGCGTCTTAAGCCGCCAGCGCAACACGGAAATTTCTACGGACTACAGGTAGAGTGACAGCAGCACAGGTTATGAAGGGATAATCACAGGATAATGGCGCACATTAGCAGAGTCCACAGTCGACAGTCGAGAGCTGGGCCGTGCAATGACACAACACAGCACAAAAAAAAAAAAAAAAGAAAAAGAAAAAAGTAAAATAAAAACATTTAACAAATCATGACATAAAATGCCATTGATGGCTTAATTAAAATGTTTTTCCTTCAGCTGTTTCTATATATGTATATGTATATACATTTATATAAACCTATATCTATATCTGCATTGCCTATGTATTTTTCTTTTAATTTTTTTTTTCGAAGCGACAGTTTTTTCTCTTTCTGCTTGTAAGCCCCTGCCCTTAGCTGGGTTCACATTTTCTTTTTAATGAAATTGTTTGGGCGCATTGTGAGGCTTTCTTGAACTTTTCTGCGCTATGTTGCACGTACGTGAAACAAAAAGCAATCAATCATCAGCTCTCTGCCTGTGCGAGTGTGTGTGTGTGTGTGGAACCACGCCTATCTCCTGGATTAGTCAGCAGTATCCGAGCGAGCATGGCGGCGGCATCATTGGTCTCTTTGGGTCCAAAGAAGGGCCGCCGTTGCTGCTGCTGAGCCCAATCAATTGCTGCCGCGCAACGCTGACTGCGACGTCGACGCTGGCAGCGACGCAGCTGCGCCCCAGGGGAGGATGAGTATACACATGTGTGTGTGTATGTGTGTGTGTGTGTGCCCGATTGGTCCCCTTTTTGGAAGCAGTGCACATGCTGCGCGTTGCGCATGTTCGTTCAAAATGAGCAATTAAACGAGCGACAGAAAGAGAGAGAGCACTAGCAAAGAGAGCGAGAACGAGAGAGAGAGATGTCGTACAAGGGTTGTTGATGTGTGCGCCCGCTGCTACTTATTAGGTAGCTATTGTCGTGCCAGCTGTAGCGAAAAGTTAGAGTATGCGAGGCCAAGTCTATAATTGGCCCACGCATAGGGTATACAAATATCGTAGAGCCATGTAAAGTGATTATTAAGCTAGGCTTAACTTGTTAAAGCTTAAAGCTCTGCTTAGCTATCGAGTGTGTTACAAATTGATAAGCATTCGAGCATTCAAAGAAATATTTGAGCTTAAATATTAATCAATTATTCTATATTCATAATATACATTCATATATGTATATATATTTGTTTTCAATTTGCAGGCTGCCCGGGTATTCAATTGAATGTAACCCAGAGATAAGGTAATCGTACATGGGCCGTGCAATTTATAGCCTTATCGCAGAACAATACTTAAACGTGTACGTGACGATACGAAGGGAATTAGTCAAAAACAAAATGTTAATATTATAAATAAAAGTTAGATTGATTATATATATATAATGAGCTTGCTTCGATGCATAGAAAATAAAGTAATATAATACATAATAAAGTAAATATTATTTTTTTAAATAATAAAAATAAACCATAATATTTTTAATTATTCAAACGTAAGATCGCAATCTTCGGCGAAAAGTATTTCACAACAAGCAACGTCTGGCTGATAATGCCAACAACTGATAAAACGCATTTATTAAGGAAAAATGCGAATAACAGAAAAGGGTTATCAAAGCCCTGGAAATATATCGGACTGACCTTGAAATTTGATCGCAAATCGGAAAAAAAGGAAAAATATTATGCAATAAAACTGCATTGAAAACAAACTAAATAGAAAACACGTGTGAGATGTGTGTTGCAGCTATCTGACGGTTAAATATATATATATACATATATATATATAGTATATATAGACAAAGGTAGACGACATTTGATAAGGCGCTCTTCAGGGGCGATAAGGCCACAGCTATTTGGTTTATTTTGAGAGCGAACAAATGGTTTGGCAACTGCCTTGGGCTGGGGCAAAATCTGTTCACTTTAATCAATCAACATTAGGCGCATCACAATATATTGACACTTGCCGCATTTTGTTGCAACAATTAGTGCGCCATTAACGGCGAGCTGACCACAAAATGCGATCGGCGATCGTAAGATTTTTTGTGGCAAGATAAATGTTTTTTTGATCCTTAAGCGGCAAATTACAAAAGTCTCAAGTGAAAGCAAGTGTCTGTCGGCTGCGGTAGAAAGTGCAAAGGAAAATCACAGAAAACAAAAAAAAATAATAATGAAAAGAAGTTTAAGAAGATGATGATGAAGAAGACGAAGCAGCAGACAGAGAGCAACAGCAAGGAAAGGAAAGGAAAGGAAAGGAAGGGAAAGGCTCAGTTGCCGACTGAGGCTAAAAGGTTGGCGAACGTCATTAATAAAGCCTCGCAAAGATTTTGATGACACCTGAACTGACAGCCGCACGAACGAGCCCCGACCAGATCACTTCACTGCATTTTGTATCTGCAAGATACACACAGACACACACACACGCATACAGGCACACATTTAGTCGGTTGAGCGGCAAGTGTGGCGCATATTAATCATGTGCTCGTCAAGCCTTCAGTCAGTCAGTCAGTCGGGCCTTCTCAGGCCCCAGACTGTGCCCACCAACAAAGCAAGCTGCTAACTCGAGTGGCCAACTGCGGTTTGTATCTTTGTATCTGATAGATACACATTTAGCAAGTATTGCACAAGTATCCTGCACGCTTCTGCGGTTAGCCACAGCGACACGCCCCAAACTTTAATAACGGTTCATTTGTGTCATCTTTTTTTTTTTTTTTGCTGCCTGCGCATTCGATTGTGCTTTCATTAACAACATTTGCACTCAACACCCACAAATAGAGTTGAACGACTAGAGATGGCCAAAATATATACTTATATTTATTATTTCCTTGTTTATTTATTTATTATTTCATATTATCAATTTATTTTATTTTATTATGAAATGCATTTTGAAGTCTAATTAGAATTTCTTTTCTACAAACTCATTCGTGTCACGTTATTCGTCCATCTCCAACGATAGTTCAGCCGCTCGATAATCGATTTGACATTTGAACTTCGTCAAAAGCGCTCGTTCGTTCACTCTTTTGCACACACACACTCTCACTCATACGCACGCACACTGACACATTCTATGGCTATAGCATTTCCATCTCCTTCTAACGCGCGGTAGCTGCTTGATTAGTTGGCTGCGCTCGCCGACAGGGGGCGGCGCAGTAGTTGTTGATGCACATTTGGCAAGCGTAAGCCGTAATTAACGGTATTTAATTATGGAAATTAACAATTGAGCACTGTGAGAAACACAGAAAGCGACGCGCACGGCAACAACAAAAAAAAAGAAGCACAAACGGCGCCAAGCAGCAGCAACAACAGAAAAAATGTGCTTTTTTATGTGTATTTTGCACAGGGTAATTAGGTGGAAATGCAACGTAATTACAGTCAAATGATTTTTCAATTTGCGTTTTTTTTTTCTTCGGCACATAACATTAAACATGTTGCCATGTGAATATAGAAAGTTCATAAACACAAACCGCTAAATAGGTGTGCATATGCTTGTACTCCTCATTGAGACACATGGCTGAGTTTTAGATTAAATATTTTTTAAATGTTTCTTATTCAAAAAGAATTTTTGTTTCCCGTTTTTACTGAGAAGCGATACGTGTTTAACACTCGAAATGAACATTAAGTAGACTGAACAGTATTGCTGAAGTGTTCCAAAGGCCCTAGCGTTGTTTTTTACTTTTTCGTCTGGTCTGATTAGCAGTCGCTGACAGCGGCAGCCCATAAAATATTTGATTATTTTAATTGATAAAGTTTTGTTTTTGCGCTCAGCTCTAAAATGTGTTTTGAAAACATAGATGTATACACACTAAAGAGCTGATAAGCAAATAAAAATAGAAAAAGTTTAGCAAAAAAGAATTTGATTTCACTTAATGGATGTAACCCTTCTTGTATAAGCATGCTCAAATTATATAATACGTAGTATCTTCGCGTTGCTACTCTTAATTTTAACACAGCTAGCAAAGCTTTTCAAAAGCTCTTCGATTTCGTTTGTAAACGTGCTCAAATACTTCGGTTGCTGTCTTGGCTAAAGTGCTTTGCTAAATAACATGTTGAGTTCTGTTGTCTATGGCAACAAATGTTGCTAGTATGTTGAGATTCCAGTGTGGTGAAGAGCAAGTGCTTAGTTGAGAGAGAGAGCAAGATAGAGCGCTGAATATAAAGAAAAACTTATAAAGTGTGGTGTGTAAAAATGCCGGTAAAACAGCTGTTTGCGTTATATGTTACGTTATCAGCCCGATGCAGCAAACAAGATGAAAAGGGGCGGACAGACGGAATATAACTGCAGGTTTAAAGAGATAAATGCAAATGAACAAAAACAGAAAACAAAGTGAACATGATATAACCTGTATATAAAATGAGAAATTATATACATGTGCATTATTCAACAGTTATAAATTTGATTACATGCGCAGCTGCAGCGAGTGCAACGAGCCGAGTGTCAACTCAACACTGAAAACGAAGTTCAACGAAACCTTTGCTGACTGTTGCTGCTGCTGCTGCTTCGGCTTCGCTTGTTGCCCAAGTTTATTTATTCCGCAACGGAGACCCAAAAATAAGAACGACAACAAGAACGACAAAAACTGTCAATATATGCGAATATGCCAAACAAAGGGTAAACACCAAAAAAACACACAGCTTTGTGTGTATTTCTGTATTTATATTTGGTTCTTTCTTTTTT